AGAAAGGAGTGACAAGTGGTATCATCATATTCGCAAGAGTGTTGAGGATAATGAGAATTATACTTTGAGATTTTTCTATACAAACTGACAAGAAACTGTGTCACAATCAGTGTTCACCCCGACATCGTGTTTGTGGACGAACAGAACAAGAATTGTCTCATCATCGACATTGCATATCCTAGTGTCTGAAGCAGGGTAGACACCAAAAAATGAGGAAAAGATCAACAAGTATCTTGATCTAGCAATTCAGATTAAAGAGCTGTGAAAGATGAAGAGTGTAAATTTGTCCTCGTTGTTATCGGAGCACTGGTTGCTATTCCAAGGAGACTGGAGGGCTACCTGAAAAACATAAATGCTGGAATAGAATTGACAGCACTTCAAAGAACAGTCTTGCTGGGATCAGCAAGGATCCTCCGAAGAGTCCTTGAAGTCTGAGGCAGCTTGTTGCGACCTGATACATGATTGGACTGAAATTTCCAGCGTTGACAAACCTGCTGTGAAAATGCACCATAATAAGGAGCCAAAGCCAGTTGAGGAGTCAGAAGAATATAAGTTACTATGGGGTTTTCCTATTCAAACTGACCACAAAATTGACCAAAAAAGAACAGACATCGTAGTTGTAACAAGAAGGAAAGGAGCTGCGCTATAACTGATATCGCTTTCCCATTTGACCATCGAGTCAAAAGAAAAAGGTGAAGCCTCTGTGGAGCTGTAAGCTCATTTTCTGCCTGAAGAGCGGGTACGTATTTTGTTGAGCAGCCCGGTTGGGTACTCCTCCTGCAAAGATGTTGTGCTTGTACCAATCGTCATTGGTTCCCTCGGAACAGTCAGCAAGAGATTCCATCAGTATTTAAATGAAAGCAAGACTTGACTAAAGTATGCAGCTATAAAAATCCTGTTTACGGGGAAAATTCTTGCTGTTATTTTTAAAAGAAAGGTGATGGACACCTAAGGCGACGGGAGGTCACATGATACCAGGGAATGACCTGGTTGGAAGACCAAGAAAACCGTGCGAATGATACTACTACTACTACTACCACTACCACTACCACTACCACTACCACTACCACTACCACTACCACTACCACTACCACTACCACTACCACTACCACTACCACTACCACTACCACTACCACTACCACTACTACTACTACTACTACTACTACTACTACTACTACTAATATTAATAATAATAATAATAATAATAATAATAATAATCAATAGTAATTATTACAACTATTATCATCATTACTATCATTATCATTATCATCATCATTATTTTTTTTATTGTGAGAACCTAGTCCTAGTCGTAAATCTAAATGTTCTTTTATTCATAATCACATAAATTTATCATCGTCAAACAGGATCGAGATTAAAAATGCTGTTGTGTCACTTGATGTCTCCTCATTCGTGTATTTTTGTGTCCGAGCGAAGGTGAAAAACCCTGAAGAACCAAAGCCCGGTTTGACGCCAGCAAAAGCTCACAACTCTGTATCCTTTGATTAGACATATCATTTTTCTCACATGTGAAAAAACATCGCGATTCTGATTGGACGTATCACGGGCGCGACGAGACCTGGTGATGATGACGACACCCGGTGAGTCAATGTCAGGGGTCCAAAATCAGTGAAACTGAGTGCTCAAATTGAAGAAACACGCTTACTACTTACAGCCTAATTCGTGACTGCTCGGTTGGTGTTAGATACAGATATGGATTAAATGTTAGCTTAGTAATCTGGGTCAACAGATGAAGAGAATAAAATTAGTTCTAGTTAGTGAGGAATCAGGAGAATTAATCCACAGTATGGTAAATAAAAAACAATGTCAAATACAAGAGAAAATTGGGATTTTTTGAGGAGTCTTAGTTTATGTAGTTTGAGTAACTAGGTAGTGGTCAGCCATTCTCATTTTTTTTGTTATTTATCGTATATTTGGCGATCGATAAGTCAGCCAAAAACACTTCGAAGAAGAAGCAAGCAAGTGCTTTTCTAATTGCAATATTGGGCGATTGAATTCGTCCTCTTCTGTCAACCTGTTAGCGTTTAAAGTTTTTAAAGTCAGTTTAGGTCACTCGTTCCATTAGTTACTAACTGTGGGGTGACGATGCTAGTTGCTTTAACAAAAAGGACGATCTCAACTGAACCTGTTTACCTTCAGCCAATATAATTGTTACCCACGACTTGCGACATTAGGCCTTACCCTCTTGGGATATAGCTAAACCGAGGAAAGAGGAACGGGGAGAGGAAACGTGAAACGGGAGACGAGCACAAAGAATGGGAAAATGAAAAATGGGAACAAAACATATTTTATTCCCAGCCCTATTAGTTAATTCATTTTTTCCGTCTTAATAACACCTCTCCTTCGTGTCTAGCTCATTTTCCTGAAATTCATGTGATCATGGCAATGATTAAAATAAGGTAAGTTATCAACTGGGTGTCGTAAATTAAAACACATTATTTTTCATTCAAAATATTTCCCCGATTCTGATTGGCTAAAAGCA